CGGCGGCCCCCGTTACCGTGCGGCTCATGTGTCACGCGCGACGACGGCCGTCTTGGGGAGGCCGCCAGCTGCACACAGTTGCGGGGCGCCGTGGCGCCGTCGTGGCGCTTTACGCCCACGGTCGGCAGCCCTAAACGGAGGCCGGTTGCGCTGGTGGGGGTCGTCATTCTACAGCGCGCCGAGGCCACCCCGGGCGGACGGAACTGCCTTGTGCGGGGGGCACCCAGCTCCGGTCCGCTCTGGTGGGTGGGTGGTCTGACTGGGTGGCTTCCCAGCTCCGCGCGGCTCGCGACGAACACGGATGGGTGGGTGGTTCCGCTGATGTCGGGCAGCGCCAGACCCAGATGCCGCCTCCGGCTGCGGAGGACCGAGCTCTGTGACCTGCCGGAGACGGCATCCGTCCCGCCCCGGCGCCACCTGTCCGGCTGCTGTCCCGCTCGGAGGCGGGGCGGAGCTGCTTTCCATCGTAGAACAAGACATCATGACCTATTTACTCATTTCATGCGAATACGGGAATTAAGTACAGTTTGTGAAAGATCAAAGCGAAGTTGCTGATGCTCACTGCGTTTGCTCAGTGGCTCAGCCGGGTTTTTCTCAGCAACCTGGACGATGCTGCTGATTTTAAGCGGCCTGTTATAATAAACATCAGGAGTGCATCCAGTATTTTCTTAAGGGGGGCGGGAGGGGCTCGGTAGGTGCGCATCACGCCGGTTTTTAGCTTCCTGTCGGGAGCCACCTTTGGTGAAATACGAAACAAAAAATCCGGCGCCGTGGCGGGGGTGGGAGAGGGGGCGGGCGCCCCTTTCCCCTTCGCTGCCGTCCGTGCACCCGTGACTCAGTGTGGACAGTCGCGAGACACTCCAGCGTCTGGCGTCGATCGCAGGCCTCCATCGGCTGTCAGTTCGCCGTCCGTGCACCTGTGACTCAGTGTGGACAGTCGCGAGACACTCCAGCGTCTGGCGTCGATCGCAGGCCTCCGTCGGCCGTCAGGTCGCCGTCCGTGCACCTGTGACTCAGTGTGGACAGTCGCGAGACACTCCAGCGTCTGGTGTCGATCGCAGGCCTCCGTCGGCCGTCAGGTCGCCGTCCGTGCACCTGTGACTCAGTGTGGACAGTCGCGAGACACTCCAGCGTCTGGTGTCGATCGCAGGCCTCCGTCGGCCGTCAGGTCGCCGTCCGTGCACCCGTGACTCAGTGTGGACAGTCGCGAGACACTCCAGCGTCTGGCGTCGATCGCAGGCCTCCGTCGGCCGTCAGGTCGCCATCCGTGCACCCGTGACTCAGTGTGGACAGTCGCGAGACACTCCAGCGTCTGGCGTCGATCGCAGGCCTTCGTCGGCCGTCGGCAGCGAGCCTCACAGGCGGCTGGGGCGTAGCGCAGGAGCTCATCAGCCGCGGAGCGCCGGCAGGGCGCCTGGGCTCCGGTCTCGCGGCCAGGCGCGGACCGTTCGCATGGGGCGATGACGGGCGCCATCTCAATCACCCAAATGCGGAGTGACTTGGCTGGGTCGGGGAACATTGTTTGTCTGTTTTCGCAACAACTGAGAGTCGCTACGTTGCGGCCCAGAGGTGGACGTTCTTCAGTAATGGGGAGTATTGGGATTGAAAGTGGGTCTCCTGTGCACAACACCCGTAGGCCCCGCCCTGAAGTTAAGGAACACGAGGGAGGCTTACGCTCCTCCGAATATGTGGAAAATTCTTAATGGCGTTTCAAGAGCAGTTTGTGTTCCTTGCGTACCCTTTTCCGAAAGCCTCGTCGCACTGTGCTGATCAGTGATCGGGTCACTGACACTGCACTGGTCAGTGCCCATGTCATTGCCACCGTGCCGAGGCCCCGCGTCGACAGGTGTTGGCGTTGTAAACGGTCGGCAGAGTGCGTTCAACTCGCGACGCTACCCAGGAGTCCGCTTCGGCCAGAAAAGTGCCGCACAGCTCACTACACTAGGCAATCGCACAGCAGGTGCCCACTTGACAACATGCTGCAGAGTTGAAGTAATGGGACATAAGTTGAAGGGAGTGTTCCACATTTGTATGGCGTTTTGAACTGAAATAGCCATCTTGAGGACCTTTTGATGCAGTTCAGGGCCATGTCCTTTTTAAGATCCAAAACGATCTGGTTCCTGAGTTACACGCCCACAAAAGTGCGAAAAGGTTTATTTGGGGCCTATTTCAAAGTTGCCTCGGCATTAATGACGTCATAGAAACGTCTTGCGATCGCGGTCATACTACAGGCTATTTCCTGCTCATGGTCAAAACAGCATGGCCGCTGATACATTCGCGAAAGCGATGATGCGGCACGTATGATGCAACGCGCGGAAGATGACTGGCTGTGAGCAAGATTTCGCTGCCGAATGCGTGTCGCGAACGTAAGCGTGAGCACTCTGGGGTTGTGCGGCACTAGTCGTGAACGGGCCATTTTTCCTTATTTCTAGGCCACAGGTCAATGTTATAAAAACAACGCCACTCTCTGCAAAAAAGGTGCGACACCCCAAAAACAGGCACTCTCCCGAAAGCTATGAAAAGAAGACGCGACGGCAAATCTATCTTTTTCCCCTGCTGGCGTTTTTTTACTTCTTGAAGAAACTTCTTGAGCCGCATTACTATGAACCCCCGTTGGGACTTTTTGAAGGGAGGTCACGGTGAAATGCGGTGACTGAAAATTTGCGAGAAAACCTGCAATTTGATAGTTCCGCGAGCTGTGCAAGCGTGAGATCACACTTATTTGACAAAAGAGCGTGAATCGGTGGGTTGAAATAAGTGTGATCACTGGTAGTGTGTGCCAGTGGCTTGATATTGATATGATGGGAAGTGTGCATGCGGAGTTTTTACTTCTTAGAGAGAGCATTGTTTTGGTATTCTTTAAGTCTACTGACTCCCAATAAAATGTGATATATTGATACCTGTCTCTACCTTTATGTTTGTGTGTGAACATGACAAAGGAATGCTGGCAAATTAAGAGAAGCACAAGCATTTATGTTACAGGGGTGTACAAAGGCAAGCTGGTGCTTCATTATGATCTTGCCAACATTTTGAACCTGTTGAGGTATTACAGCATTTGATTAATCCATTGTGTGTCATTATATCAGCAATTCATTCTGGCAGTAGGGGCTGGTGTGTACAGCTCATTAATGCACATGCTCAGTATAGGCTCACATTATATGGCTTGTGAAATTGTCTCCCTAGATAATTTTGAAAACTTGGAGCTGCATTATTACGGATGCATATTGCATTGTTTTCACAAATTTCGTATACAGGCGAGCGTTGCTCGTGAGTCATCAATGGCGTAGTCACTGCAACTTGCGTGAGATGCTGAGTGCTGAGAAAGGTGGAAAAGTGTTGCTGTTGATGTCTCGGATAACACTTTATAATATGTTTGTCATGAGCCTTGTGTGCACTGGCAGCTTCATCACTTCCTGGCACTTTGCCCATCCAACTATAACTACATGCACTTGTCATGTTTTCAGCCTTGTGCAAGGTCGGCATTTTTGCAGTGTTATGTCACATGTAAAATTTTCCTGTTATTTCTTAGTAAAGCAGCCTGATGGCTGCGGCATGTTGCATGACTGTGGAAGTGGAAGATGTGTTTGCATCTTTCTCACCTACGCTTTGAGGATTCCCAAAACAGGCTGAGCAAGTGATGCTTCTTATTGGTTGTCTGCTTTGCTGAAAGTGATGTGTATACTGTATCATATGTTTCTGGCCAGTCATATGTCAGATGGGGAGTCAATACAAGAGAGGACACTTGAGCCATCTTTTCATGATGGAATTTATTACGAAAGCAGCATGGATTGCAGTACAAAAACCATGTGATTGTTCATTGTGTCATGCCACAGTACAGCGCTGAGGTAGTGCCACAGCTATTGGCCTGTGCCATTACACAATGTATCACATTGATTGTCTACTCCGTCGATCCTATGGGGCAGCAGTTTGCAATTTATGAATGACTGGTAACAACTGATTTAATAATGCCAAAGGACTGTCAACAGCAAGAATGTCATTACACCACAATAGTTATATTAGGGTTAGCTATAAATTGCATAAATGATCCTAAGCAAAAAAGCCTTCTTGGTCGTCCAACCTTACCATCTTTACCATAGCAATAGCAATACGATGGCAATCAATTTATAGTAACGTTACAAATTTATTCATTTTCGCATGGCACCGCATTTCCAGGTACACACAGTGAAGAAAGTAACTTCTGTGCACATCGCATGATATCAATGTCAGTACTACAGTACTGCAGACAACGATGGGTCGACAATAAAGTATTGACAAAATCATCAACAGCACAGCAGCAGCACAGCATATCGTGCTTTGATATGAATAAACTGCCTTAAAAGCTGGCGATCGCTACGTTGTGCATGTCAAACAGTCCACCAAAGCTTTTCTTCCGGCCAGCACCAAGACAAAAAATCCACAAACAAACCACCCACTAATCCGCCACTCGATACAGCCCCCGCGACGTTTCGTGTGTTTCGGGGCATTCTTAAGGTCTGGCTGTCAGATGCTGCCAGGTATTACTGTCGTCACAAAACCATTCTATGACGCCATCAAACAATGACGTAATGGGGCGCATTTTTACAAACTTTGAAATGTTGCCACTTCGCGTCGTTTTTGAACCTTGAAATTTTACCAATAGTTTCAACTAAGCTTTTCCCATCACATCTGATGCATACCTCAATATCTTCAAATGTGGAACATTCCCTTCAAGACCTTGCAAAAGCGGCCGAGCATGCCGAACGTCCCCTATTGTCGACGACGTTGAAGAAGTGTTGATTTTTGCCTGCCGGATGGGAAGCGCTGCCGAACTTTCGGCGAGCGTCGCCGCGTGCGGAGGCGCGGTGTCATGCCGCGCCCTCCTGGAGACCGCGGATGAGCTCCCAGCGCGTGTCGCGGCATGGAGAGGGGGAGGGAGGAACAGTGTCACCTCTCGGCCCAGCACGGCGCGTCTTTCGGTCTTCACGCCCGTCCGATCTAATCAACCTGTGCTGCCGTTTCAGAAGACGACGTGCTCAGTAATTACTTCTCACGCAAGGGCAAAAAGTACGGCCTGCTGAGCCTGTTCAATTACGCCAAAGACGGTCTGCTACCAGTGCGCAACAAGAAGTCCTACTAATGAGCCGCGTTCGTCGCCCCGCGTGGCACGATGTGGCCTCCAGCCGAGCGGCGCTGACACCAGCGCGCCGCGCATTCGTTTAGAGGGACACCTGCCGTCCGCACTCAGTGAGAGGCCAGCTCTGCGCGCCGCGGCGGGCCGGTGAGCTCCCGCCGCCGCGTCGACCGGCGGCGTCGCCGCCGCGGCCGGAGTCAGCCCGTGTCAACTGAGGTCGATCACCACTGGTGTCGGGCCGAAGGTTTTTGTGCGCGCCGTTGGCCGACGGCGGCTTGTCAGTAGACCGCACGCGCCAGCTGACGCCCGGTCCCGCCGGCGGGACACCTGCCGTCCAGCCAAACCTGCTAACAGCCGATGGCGGGGCGGCGCCCAGCGCTGGCGGCAGTATTTGTACGAATGTGACCTGATTTGACCTCTGTGATCGCGCGTGACATTCATTTGCGTGCTTTAGTGCCAGTCACTGTGTCCGGCGCGGGCGAGTGTCCGTACAATTACAACACCGCCCCGTGACTGTGCCGTGCCTGCGCGTTACCGCGCTCGGTCGGGCGTCGGCGCGCGCCCGCCGCCAGTGCACCCCTGTCTCGGATGTCTCGTCGCGTCGGACGCGAGCGCCGTGCCGCGTTGACATCGATACAGTCGGCCATGGTGTCGCGGCTGGGCGGCGGAGTGGGCGTCGCTGCCGCCGGAGGACGGCCGCGGGTCCGGCTCTGCGGCGCCACGCGCCCGTGGATGGCCGCCGGCGCTCGCGCCGCGCCCGCCCGCGGCCTGTTTGTCGTGGAATGAGTCTGCCGGCTGCCGGAGATTTGGAGGATGGGGTCTGCCTTCGGGGATTTGGGTGATGGCGGCGGTTTTTATCCGGCGTACGTTTGAATTATGCATCGGAGGTGCATATTACCTGTGAATAATGCAGCAGACGGCGATGTTGTGTGGGCGAACTCGCCTGGTGGTTTGGGATAATTCTGTATTGCCGTGTGCAAACTGCTGATTTGTTTTTGAGACTCCGGAGGGCAACGGCTGCTCGTAACACTGCTCTGCTCGTGATCAGGGATGTGATCAGCGAACGATGAACATCATCAAATATACGGTTAAATACAGCCTGTGTTTAGACAGTTTGAGGCATAGAGCCTTAGTCGCCTGCAACCACCACTGCCTCCTGTTACCATTGCTATCTAGTCCCTTTGTAGCCTCCAGAGTAACCTGCAGCCGTGATGATCAGACCAAGTGTGAAGTGCTGGTCGTCGTGCGGCGAGACGCAGCAGTCGCCATGCCTGCCACATCCGCCGCAACGGTCACTCATCTCAGGGTAATGTGGCGTACAGCTGAGCCGTTTGAGCAGCTGCTCTGCGCTGTTGGTCTGCTCGAGCAGCTGCTCGGCGCTCTTGGCCTGCTGTAGCAGCTGCTCTGCGCTGTTGGTCTGCTCGAGCAGCTGCTCGGCGCTCTTGGCCTGCTGTAGCAGCTGCTCGGCGCTGTTGGTCTGCTCGAGCAGCTGCTCGGCGCTCTTGGCCTGCTGTAGCAGCTGCTCGGCGCTGTTGGTCGTGCATGCTGGATTTCAGAGGTTTCAATCTGTGGTCACCTCGAGAGTCGTGGTCAGACTGGCCCCGGCGGCCGTCGTAGGCCTACGGCTACGGTCTGACAGCGTCGCGTCTGACCCACAGCGTCCTGACCTACGGCGGCGGCGGCCGCCGTAGGTCAAACGCTGTGGGTGTTGTTTTCGTGGTTCTTTGCTATGCGCCGATTTGTCGCTTGAGCACTCACTAATAGATGCTGAGCTTCGAATGGTGAAAGCCTAAAACTGCTTTTAAAGAGAAGTGGTTTAGCTACACAGACAATTGCACTGGTAACGATATTTGGATCTAAGGGCGCTCCTACTGCACCCGTCATTTTATGCCTTGCCCCAAGCAGTTCTAAAAAGAGCGCTGCTAGGCAAAATCGAGCTTGGAACATGTACGCATGCACATTCATCGCCATGGGTGCATACTTACGTGCAGGCGTGCATGCGTATGCGCGTGCGGGTATGGGTGGGGGTGCAAAGGCGGTTGAGTAGGTTTGTTGCTCGTGATGGATGGGGGTGGGGTTTTCTGTGTGCGTGTGTGGGTGCATGTTTGCGAGCGTGCACCTTAGGCATGCTTTAAGATATTGGGCTTAGATATAGTCAATGTAAACAATATAATTTTAACAAGCTTGTTGTATGAAACTGCAGCTTTCGAGATAATCTCTATGCCTTCTTCAGGCCTAGTCAGAAAACGACACCAAAAACAGATTCAGGCACGCAGTTTTCATAATGCGTCATTTGCTGCTGTTACACACACGCAGAAACCGCATGTCGACCGGCTGATTGCTATTGACCGGTAGCTGTCGGGATGATATTTATCTCTTCCTCAGCCTTTGTCAAACAATGATATGAGAAACAGATTCGGGCACGCATTAAGCAGTAAATAAAGTTGATGCCTGAATCCGTTTTCATGTATCAGTATCAGTGTCAGCATGTTGGAGACCATCCACATGGTGGCTTTTACAGTTTCAGGTCAAGGTCATTTCATGCTACATACGTTTGCAGTATGAATAGGCACACACGACAGGTATACGACAGAATGCTAGGGGCAATGGTAACACTACAATTATAAGAGCAGTGGTTTGCACGATGGGCAGTGATCAGTGCTCAGTGGACGAAAATTGCATTATGTATGGCGGTCTTAAACGTGCTTAATGTTGTGGTATCACAGACGTGCGATGACGGGTGGTTCCAGGCAGCTGCGGCTCGACGCGAAAACACTCCCAGCGTGGCGGTCAATCGGTGTCTGTGCAGGCGCAGACTTCCTCTTTTCGGAGGCGCGCGTCTTGCGGGTGGAAACAGCGGCGCATGGGGACAAAAAAACTGCACGGACCTCATGACCCGCGGTACCGCCTTCAGTGCCGTAAACGCTATTGATCACGCCATGACGCACCACTATGACCTTGATCCCTGGCTGTTCCCAAGGAATTAAAAGCCGGAATTATGGTGGTGCTTTTTGGAGCCGGTAATAACTCTTGCAGCAGTTAATTACTTTTTGAATTTTGTGTAGTCGAATCTTGGTCACCCACCTCACACGCACCAAGCTATACGTGATATGAGGGAACACGCACGCCTGAATGATGATTTTGAGAAGATCTGAAGTGAAGTAATGACGAAACTTGCAACCGAGGATGCCATTGCATGTTTTCACGCCACAGACATGGGTGCCCCATGACAGGTCGTAGTCAGCCATGACTCATGAGAGAGACTGAGACTGACTCACATGAGAATTTGGATGAAAACCTGAGGCATGCACAGACGAACCGCTTACTTCAAAGCGGAAGTCAGCTCGCTGTTTTAAATTTTCCTTTTACCCAGCGAGCATAAAAACAGTTTTTGTTTAGTTCATTTGGAGAAAACTGGCATGAAACCAGTTCTGAAGCTCATGCATGGTAGTTTCAGTCTGGTTTCGAGGTCGGGCAATACCCGGTCCGTCAGGAGCGCGCAGTCCACTTGCATGATGTCGTCAGCGCAGCAGATGAGGTTATATATAAATCAGCAGGCCATAAATCAAGTATCTGTATAGATCGTTGGTTAACAAAATGAGCAAAACTGAACCGATGATTGAGCCCTGGGGTACACTGCATGACATGGGAGAGAGTGAGCCGTCTTTCACGCACCAGCTGCCCTCGATCACTCAAATAACTCCTAAACCATCCCACATCAGTAGCGTCATACCAAGACAGCTTGCTGAGGAAGACGTCCGTGGTCCACGTTGTCAAGCACCTTTGACAAATCGATCGTCGTTGCCGACGATATAGACCGTCGTCGGTGTTGGTGACCAGGCACTCGGCTGCGGCGAGCACGACATCCTCGGTCGATTGGCGCGGCCTACAGGATACCGGGATGGATGCAGCTGTGCTGCCGCATCCAACTTTTACAATTTTTTCATGTTGTTGTCTTACCCAAGTTGATGAAGGGGATAGAGAAAATCCCCAAATCCATCGTTCAATAAAAACAAGCTGATTGAAATATTATCTTTTTACAAAATTGTGTATGTTCTACATATCACTCACAGCTTGAGAACTAGGTATCTAAGCAACGATTTTAAGACTCGCTGTGTTTTGATGTTCAATTTGCAGGTAATGTAACTTTTATTTTCGTTTCATACCTGTATCACAATGCTGCAAGACGCTGACAGAAATGCGCAGAGCACGTAAATACGCTGGTAAAATGCTGATTCCCCTGTCTAAGTCTCATAATATTGAATGAACTTATCTATCGTGGTTGCGTGGCTATGAGCTACGAGCACTATGTATATATATAAGAAACATTATGTGTATATATAATGCTCTCCTCATATATATATATATATATATATATATACTCTCTCTCTCTATCTCTCTCTCTCTCTCTCTCTCTCTCTCTCTCTCTCTCTCTCTCTCTCTCTCTCTCTCTCTCTCTCTCTCTCCTCTCTCTCTCTCTCTCTCTCTCTCTCTCTCTCTCTCTCTCTCTCC